TCTTTGTTGGTATGTGGTGCTGAGGATCGAACCTGGGCCGCACGCATGCCAGGCGAGCGCGCTACCGCTTGAGCCACATCCCCAGCCCATGTGTTTTTGTCTTTAAAATTAATCCAATTTGGGGGGCTAGGGATATAGTTCAGTTGAGTACTTGACTGGCATGCACAAGGCCCTAGGTTCAATCTCAAGCCCAACCAAAAAAGAAAGAAAAATTTTAATGTATCACTAAACATATTGCATAATAATGTATTAAGATCCATTTCTGTATTACATAATTGTATGAGAGCAAAAAGGAACATTAGAAATTACCCTGTTATTCATTCATATAATTGAATTATGTTATTCATGTTATTAAAAGAAGCCACAGTCCAGACAGGTTAAGTGCCTGGTGTGAGTGTACATGGCCAATTTATGATGGAGCTAGGAGACATACCTTCGAATAATAAAGACCACAGAGAACTGATCTTGTTAAGACATAATCTGATAGAAAATTTGGAAACATGTCAAGCAATCCTATGTACAGTTAAATATAAAATAACATGCCTGTGTCTTAGTAATACCTAATTAAATGGTTGTTTCAGGGGGAGGTAATACGGTTTAAAATGTCTCTAATAATTCACATTTAAAAAAAAGCCATCTTAGTAATGTTGTGTCTAATTCTAGCCTTACATGAAAAAAAAATGTAGGGTAGGGAGAACATGTTTAGCTTGCATTAAAGTAGTTACTGTTATGGGAAGATAGCTCTCCATGTCTTCTTGCCACTAACCTATAATGCTAAGTTCCTTGGTAAGATCCAACAGACTGAAAGAAAGTGGAAGATCTTGAAGAAATGAAGCAATTTCTATGATATTCAGCTTCATAGATGATTAATGTAAAACCATACAAAGGGTAGAATAATTTTAATTTCTTAATATCAATTGAGGCTTCATTGGGGATGTTAAGGAGAGGTTTGCCTCACACTGCAAATGTAAAAATAAAGATCATTATTCTTTCAAGATCTTTGAATGGTTTGGATCCCATTTGTGAAGCCCCATATACCAATTCATCTAAGATTTTTTCTAGTTAGCTTATTGAAGTATATGATGGAAGAAAATACTGTTTATGCTAGTGTAAGTATGTTATATATTGGTAGTGAAATGGCAATTCTATAAATGTTTATACTTCTAAATTAAACCCTTTCAAAAGCATTTTAATCTTTTAATTTTCTAAAATAATAATGAAACACTAAAACTTAACTACTGGGCTGCCTACTTTATTTATTAAGGGACTAATACAAATCATTTAAACATCTCTATCAATCCAACAGTTAAAGGAAGATTATTATTCATTCCACAAACAATGAACATCATGAGTAAGACCTAATTCCTGCTCAGTAGGAGCATCAGTAGCTGCATTGTTTGCCAAAATCATTCCAAAACTGTGTCACCACTTGGACACTTAGTAATTTATGAAGAAAAACTGATTATGTGTTAGTGCTACACTTTATGGTATCCTAGAAACATGTATCTTTCTAATTTTACCCAATTAAGTGAACAAAACCTTCAGGCCTGGCTTACAGCCACTGTCCCGACTTCTGGTGTGTTACTTGGAGGACCTTTCTGTTTCAGATGAAAGCAGAAAATGGTAGTTTATCATTCTCTTGTAATAAATTGCAGACCACTGGAACAGCATTGCCTAAAATATCCCAGGAATTTACCATAAGCATGGCAACATTTTAAGTTATTTTGCTTACTATGTTTATGCCTTTGGAAGAAAGATGTGCAGTTCTTTTTAGCTTTTTATACTGTATCCTTCAGTTGTCAATTAACCATTTTTCAATTTATTCATTGATGAAATTCAGTACCTAGTATATATTAGGCATAGTACTAGGAGATAAGGTTGTGGAAATGTGTAAAGTTGGAGCAGCTTTGGAACAGCTCAGCATCTAATGGGAAAGAAAATCAGGTAGATAATTACAATACAGGTAAGTGTTGAATGAAAAGCATGATGTGACCTGTGGGAAGGACACCAAACTATGAGTCAGGAAAAGCATCCCAAAGAAGTATAGTAATCATGCATATTTGCCAAATGCTAATTTCTTTACTCTTAAGAATCTGGATTTTGTCCACAATGGATAAAAATAATGTGGTATATGAAGTTTTATTCAGCCATAAAGAACAAAATTATATCACTTGCAGGACAATGGATGGAACTTGAGAATATTATGTTAACACAGTAAGCCAAACTCAGAAAGTCAAGTGTGGTTGATATGTTTTCTCACATATAGAAACTAGGAAGAGAAAAAAAAGTGGGGTGGGGTCTCATGAAAATATAAAGGGGACCAATAGAGTAGAGGAAGGGGACCAGAATGAGGGAAAGGGGAGATACTAGAGAATGAAATTGACCATGTAGAAGAGAATGTGTAATAAGAAATTCTACTATAATGTGTAATTATAATGAAAAACAACAAAAGTATTAAAAAAATAATCCAAGAAAAGCTGTGGACTTTTTCCTCCAAAAAAAATATGACATACCAAAATTTTGCATATAATTTCAACTATTCTTTGAGATTGAAATAGCATAAGAATCTAAATTCATTTTCATTCCATACTGACCCTTTGTAAGTAGTTTGCCCTTTTTTCTATTCTTTTATTATTATTATTATTTTAGTTATTTCCTGATGGCCCGACGAATATTGGAGGCAAGCACTTTACCATTGAGCCACAACCCCAGCCATCCCTAGATCCCTTTTTTCTATTCCACAACTACTTTTTTTTTTCTGGTGTTACAGTAAGCACTTCTTACCCCATCTTTATGTCTTCAATAATTTTACACACCTTTAGTTATCATCTAAGTTTCCTCCCCTACACAATGAATTCACACTTTACAATTTTAGTCACCTTTAAAAAGAAAGCACTTTGAGCTTATTAAATTATCTTCCACCAATAATGCAATTTTATTTTTGCCTCATTTCCTTTTAAATTTTTTAAAATTTTTTTATTTATTCTAATTAGTTTATATATGACAGCCGAGTGCAATTCATATTACACAAATAGAGCACAATTTCTCAAAAGTAGAGTCACACCATTTGTGTTTTCATACAAGCGCTTAGGGTAATGATGTCCACCTCATTCCACTGTCTTTCCTACCCCCATACTCACTTCCCCTTCCTCCCCTTAGTCCTATCTAAAGTTTGTCCATTCTTCCCATGCTCCCCGCCATCCCCATTATGAATCAGCATCCTTATATCAGAGAAGACATTCAGCATTTGATTTTGGGGGATTGGCTTACTTTACTTGGCATTATATTCTCCAACTTCATTTTATTTCCAATTTTTTTTTGAGACTTTTAGGCTCAGAATTTATCTTTTACTCTTAAAGACTCGTTAATCACACACAAAAAAATTATAGTTATCTATATGTGCGTTTGGAGCTAAATTATTATCAGTTGTGAACTTAGAACTCTTTAAATATTTAAAATAAGAAAAACCAGCACATGAACCTCTCCCGCTTGCATAGCCCTGGTTTTGAGAACGCACCTACGGACTGGGCCATGGCGGAGGCGAGCTTCGAGCCTCCCAGGCCCCGCAGCCGAGGGCCGGGCTGGTGCAGTGAGGGCTCAACGAGGCAGGGAGGGACCCTGCTGAGGGCGCGGGGCTCGGAATGGAAGCCGAGCACTCCTTCCACTTACCCCACCTCAGAGGTCTCACAATCAGTTCCTTGTAGTGACATTCTCGCCAGTTGGTGCCAGTCACTTCACTTTATTAAGCAAAGAGGACTTGGGCAAAGAAGGCACAGAGAGAAGCCAGAAGTTCACTCACGAGAGGACGGACAGTGGCGCCCTCCGAGCCCAGCCTCCGTGCGGTTAGCGGAACCGAGGGGCGGCCGACGCCTGGGCCGAGGCGAAGAGGGAGGCGCTGCTCACGCGCGCGCCCGGCCGCGGGGTTTAAATCTCCCGCCTCCCACAGCGGAGCCCGACACCTCCACGCTCCGGTGCGGAGGGCACGGGCTGAGGGAGCGGCCCGGCAGCGTCGCGGGCTCGCGGGCGGCGGCTGGAACGGGTGCCGGGACGGACGTCCGCGCGGCCGAGCGCGACCCGAGGTGGCGGAGGACCAGCGCGGCGCGATTCCGGCGTCGCGGTGAGCGTCTGCGGCCTCCCTCCCGTCGCCTCCCTCTGGGGTTGCGGTCCGGCCCGGAGGCCAAATCCTGGGTTCCCATGGCGATGCCGGGAGGCCGGGGCACCACCCGCACGCGGTCCCCGGGGCCTCGCTGGCCGCCTCGGTTCCTCGAGGGCCGGGCCCTGCGGCCTTCCCCCTGGGCGAAGCCCGGACCCGCGCTCTTCCGGGCCGACTCGGGGCAGCACAACACCGAGTGGCCCAGGGCGGGGCGGGGTCCCCTCGGGCGGACGGGGCGCCTGCCCACGCTCGCCCGTGGAGAAGGAGCACGGCGGCCTAAGGCTTGGTTGGGTGGTTTCTCCCGAAGGTGGAGAGCGCTTCTTTAGAGGCAAATGCTCACAGCCTTCAGGTGCTTTACTGCTGGCCTTGTTTGTATGTTGTTTTATTTTATTTTTTAAAATTTTTATTATTAGTTGTTCAAAACATTTATGTTGTTTTATTTTTATTTTATTATTATTTTATTATGGGAATGTCTTCCTTAGAAAGTAATTGGCGATCTATCGGTAAAACAAAACATAAGCAAATGTGCGGTTTGGAGTGAACTGCGGAATGCACCTGCTTCGGATGGGTCCGCGCATTAATCCTCTGGTCCCATAAGGAGAACCCATCCCCACCGCGCGGATCCAGCTCCTGTGTTGGGTATCCTGGGCCATGATGTCAGTGGTCGGATACCTGATGCTCTAAGAAAGATGGAGAAAAGGGGTGGGGGCGGGAGATCCCGCTCGCAACTAACCAGCGATGCTGTGCATTTTGCCAGTAGAGGGGGTGGGATTATTTTCCATGTAATAGATGATCTTAGTGCACAAAGCATAAAAGCTGTTATAAACTATGGGTCACTAAAATAGCTGTTGGGAAGATAACGTTTCTCCGTGGTTTGGGTTCTTTTTTCTAAGTATTATGTATTGATTTATTTGATTGGACTCGACAATGTACTGTGTAAGGCGATATTGCTTTAATCATCATCCCATCAATATTTAAAGGGTAGCCACAGGTTCCTCATTCTTTGGTAGGAGTTAAGTATACACTTATCAGCTAAATAAACATTTAATGTCATGTATTTTTTATATGACCACGCTTTAAAATAGTTTTTTTGTTATTTGTGCCTAACATATTCTTTGAGCACTGTATGTTGATTTAATAGTGCAAAATGATTACACATCTTGCCATTGAGACAGCTATGTGCAGGCACTCTTCTAATTACTATTAATTATAATTTCCAGGCAACTCCTCATTATGATTTTAGAATTAGGAGAGTGCTCAGAGATCAGCTAGTCTAAAGGGCAAAAACTGCAAACATGAGACTGGTGGAAAAAGTAGGAAGCCTTATTTTTATTATAAATGTTTATCATAAAACAATACAACAAAATTTATATCAGTGATGAACTGGAACCATATGTCAAAATATTAAATATTACATATAAATAGATAATGTACTATTTTTTCTATACAGATACTTTGCGGTTTTATTGTGTGGTATATTCTACAATTTAAATTTTTTCTTTTATACTTTACCTGTTTCAGTACTCACTGTACCTCCTTTAAAATTTTAATTTTTTTAAATGTTCTTTAACAACAGATGGGATGTGTGAAAGACTTTCAAATATGTCTGGAACTAGAAAAGTTTCCTCAGATGAACCAGGCTTTGTCATTTAATAATATCCTTAATCTCTTATTAAATTTGTCTGTTTTTCATTCATCCCTTAAGTCTTCTTTCCTGAAATAAAACTTTTCAGACTTCTTAAATTCAGTCATCTTCTATATATCTTATTTTGCCATTATTGACTTATTTGCATATAATGCTAGAATTTAATTTTTTTCTAATTTATTTGTGATAGAAAAAGCTTCAAGTAACCGTATATTTACAACAGCCATCATTAGCCACTCTTACCATTTTGTGATAGTTCTTTCTAGTATTTTTCTAATTTTTATTTATTATTTTGCTGGGGATCCAACCAAAGACCTGTGTTATAAACCAATGTGCTGTCACCCAGGCTTAATTTTCCATTTATAGAGCACAGGCAAAGTAAATTTAGTATGATACTTAAGGGACCTAGCATTTTCTGAGGGGTAAAAAAGCACTGGCATCAACTTCAAGTCATCAGCTGCATTACCTCCACCCTCATCCCCCCCCCCACTACCCCAAGAAAGTCAGACTGTCCTTTGAAGTTTTGAAGCCAGGCATTGACTCCTTTCTATCTAATAGAAAGTCCTAGGTGCCTTCTTCCAATAGATGGCTGTTTCAGCTACACTGAAAATCTGTTGTTGAGTTTAGCCCCTGTATCAGTTGTCTTCTGGGTATCTTGCTGCAGCTTCTGCATCAGCACTTGCTGCTTCACCTTGTACCTTATGTTATGGAGACGGAGTCTTTCCTTAAACCTCAGGAACCAACTTCTGCTAGCTTCAAAATTCTCTCCTGCAGCTTCCTCACCTCTCTCCACCTTCATAGAACTGAAGAAAGTGAGGGCTTTTCTCTGGGTTGTTTTGGCTAAGGAAGTGTTGCGGCTGGTCTGATCTTCTATCTAGAACCATTAAAACTTTCTCAATTTCAGCAATAGCTTGCTTCTTATCATTTGTGTGTTCACTGAGTAGCACTTTTAATGTTTTTCAGTAACTTTTCTTTTGCATTCACAGCTAGGCTACTGGAGGTCTAGCTTTCAGTCTATCTTGGCTTCCAACCTTCCTTCTGCACTAAGTTCATCATTTCTAGCATTTTATCTAAAGTGGGAGACCTCCTACCCTTCCTTTCACTTGACTCCTAGAGCTACTGTAGGTTTACTGTTTGGCTTAATTTCAATATTATTCTGTCTCGGGGAATAGGGAAGCCTGAGGAAAGAGAGTGAGACCATGGGGTAGAGGTAGGGGTTACTGGTGTGGCAGTCAAAAAACACAACAGTTGACTGTTTTATATGGACACGGCTATTTCTGGCACCCTAAAACCAATAATAACACCAAAGATCACTGGTCACAGATCATCATAACAGATATAATAATAGTGAAAAAGTTTGAAATACTGCAAGAATCACCAATATGTGACACAGAGACACTAAGTGAGCATTTGCTGTTGGAAAAATAATGCTGAATGGAAAAATATCTGTGCAGGATAACACAACAAAATGAAGATATTTTTAAATGCACATACCATGTGTTTCAGTTTCTATACTTTCAGAAGTTTATCTAATATAAGTATTTTAAATAATACAAATACATATTTATTCATTGTAGCCTGGTTTGAAATACTATCAAGTCTGAAAACAATCTAAATATCCATTGATAAGTCAGTTAAATAAATTATGCAGTCCACACAAGATAATGTTATATACCCATTAAAATTGTATTCCACATGATTGGTAAATTCCATGTCATATTCTTTTTCCCTCAGCACTGTACATAGCACTGTCTTTTCTGTAGTGCTGGGGAGGAACCCAGGCCATCACTATCACTGTCTCTTTATCACTGAGTACATCCCAGCCCTTCACTTTTTTTTTTTTTTTTTTTTTTTTTTTTTTTTTTTAAGAGAGAGTGAGAGGGGAGAGAGAGAGAGAGAGAGAGAGAGAGAGAGAGAGAGAGAGAATTTTTTTTTTTAATCTTTATTTTTTAGTTCTCAGCGGACACAACATCTTTGTTTGTATGTGGTGCTGAGGATCGAACCCGGGCCGCACGCATGCCAGGCGAGCGCGCTACCGCTTGAGCCACATCCCCAGCCCCCAGCCCTTCACTTTTACTACCTAATATAACTGAGGCAATGTCTGATGCCAGCATAAATTACTTAATTTTCTGATGGTCCTGTTTCTGCTCAGATATTAAGAGCATTCTTTCTTTTCTCTTAAAATTTAGCAACATTCCATAATATATCTCAATCAAGGAAGACTTTTTTTTAACATAATGAGCCCTTCTAATTTTCAGCTCTATACCTTTGCATATTTTGCTATTCCAAATATCTGTCTTAATCCAGGAGTATTACTTACATTAGATCTCAGTTTTTTACCTTTCAAATTTGTCATCCTTGTTTTATCTAACCAGCTTGTTCAAATGTAACCCCTTTTGCCTTTAATCTTCACTTTTTAATTATTTCCCCAGACCCATTCTCCATGTTAAATTGGTCTTATGAAATATCTGTTCTGCATGTAGTTGTTTTAAATTCAGTAGTATGTTTTGTCTCTTATCTCTTTTGCTTGTTTCAGTTGTCTTTTATCTATTGTATAGAGTTATATTTTATTTATCTGCATGCAGAACCATTCTTTATCCTTCTATTTCATGGAACAATTTTCATGAGTATGTATTTTCTCTTTTTCATGTTATGGTAGGACCTCCTTTTTCTTACATTGCTACTTTTTCATGGTGTTTCTTGTTGAATGGACCAATTCTATTCTGGCCTGCCTTTCCCCCCAAGAATGGTATAAGTAGTTATCTTAAACCCCTCCTTGCTTACCTGGTAATTTCAATAACTGCCTTGGAGTCTGAGGTAGGAGACTGGATACTTATTTCCATTCAGTAATTGGCTGCTTGGTGCCAAGGTCCTCACATGCTGTCTCTCGGCTCTTTTGCACAGCATGGGTTAATCATTGATTACACAGTCAGGTAAGGCAGGTAGATCTGTGATTAGCTTACTTTAGTCTGCTGTGCAAGGTTGACTACCAGCTTTCTGTTTTCCTCTTAGTCCTCCATTGTCTCCAGATAGGAAAAACAAAAATTATCCTGGCCACTGGGAGTTTTAGGGAGTCCAAAACACAATACAACTTGTCCAGCCCCATCCTGAGAACCAAAGGAGTTAGGCAGATAGAGATTAAAATATTAGCTTTAGTATTACGAGATCTGTTGGAGGACATTTATGATGTTAGAGGTTAGATGTGGAATGTTTCCCAAGGTCTCATATATTCAGAGATAGGAGTTTCATGAAATAATTGGATGGTGAAGGTCCTGACTTCAGTGAATTAAATCCATTGATGACTGAATGGGCTACTGGAAAGTGGGACACAGTTGGATGAAGTAGGTCACTGGAGATGTGTCCTGGAAGGGTTTATCTTTCCCCAGCACCCAGGGCTCCTGCCCCACCCCCACAACGCTGCTCAGCCTTAGCTTTGTAGCTTCCATGAGCTGAGCAGCTTCCCTCTGACATGCCCTTCTACTAGGATGCTTTGCCTCACCTCAGACCTAGAGCAATGGAGAGACTAACTATGGACTGAAACCTCTGAAAATATGAGCCAAAATAAACTTTTCCTCCTTCAGGTTGTTTATGTGAGCTATTATGGTTACAGAGATGCAAAACTAACACAGATGGCATCAGTGGGTTTATAATCCTTCTGTCCCCCAGTTCGGAGTTTGAAATACCATCTGAAATGAAAATTTAAATCTTTAGAAGAAATACTCTGAGACTTTTGCCTTTTGTAGGTTACAAGTGATGAGTGACAGGTTTAAAAATGGGACTATATTTTCCAATTTTAAGACTTTTGATAATCTAGCTCTGACCAGTCAAAAAATATAGAAGTTCTACCCTGCTGTGGTATGTAGACCAGTGGTAAACTCATCAGTCAGGTTTCTCACAGTGGGAGAAGGGGCAAGAGGCATGGAAAGACCTTCCTCATGGAAACCAGAAGAGTTGAAAAGACGTATTCCCCATGTTAAACATCAGGATCCCTTTTTAAGTAGTCTTTTTGCTGTCGGGTGATAGGGAGATAGGCACCCAGTAGAATGTTTCTGTTTTCTCTAATTCTGGCTGTTGCACCTTCAAGGACTTGTCTTTTCAAGTTACTGAGAACTTATTGGTGTGGTTCTTCATTACTTTCTCAAGTTGCCCAACTGAATCTACCTGAAATTAAAGGAGCTCTGTGTCAGATTTGGATGTTCTCTTTAAATTTGATGTGAATTTCATTGTGTCTGACATTTATTTATTAACATTTAATTTTGGGAAAATTTATTTATTTGTATTTAATTAAGGGAAAAGAGGTGAATATACATTTATTCTGTCATCTTTCCCAGAAGCTCTTAAACTTTTTAATTATTGCTTATCTGACAGACTTTTATTCTTTCATTTATACTTCTTTAGTTATAAAAGGGATTAAGTAACATTTTTGTATATTCATTGAATTTTTGAAGTTCTTTTGTGAATTACCTGTTCTTTTGTCCTTATTTTTCAGTGGTTAATTCTGAGTTATAATACTTATTTAAGAAATACTAACCCTTTCCTCAGTTATGATACCCAGTTACATTGTTTTCAGATTTTACTTATGCATTTTAAATATATAAGTTTAAAACTTCTATGATATCTAAAGTCTTTTTCTACATGATTATCATGTTTGTTATCATGTTGAAAAGACTTCTGATCCCAAATTTAACATTTACCTACACTTTTTCATGGTGTCATTTTATTTTTTTAGCATTTAAATTTAAAAAAAATTAGTTGTAGATGGACACAATACCTTTATTTTGTTTATTTATTTATTTTTAATGTGGTGCTGAGAATCGAACCCAGTGCATCACACTTGCTAGGCAAGCACTCTGGAACTGAGCCACACCTCAGCCCTGCATTTAAATTTTTAATCATTTTTATGGTGTCTTAAGTATTGAAAATTTTTTTCTCAAACAGATAGCAAATTGTTCTAACACCACTCATTGGATAACATATCCCTATTATACAGATTTGAAATGCCATTTTGACTGCAGTGGACTGAATGGTGACCCCCAAAGATAATAAATCTAATCCCTGGAATATGAGAATATTAGCTTACAAGGTCAAGGGTTTTTTTAATATTTATTTTTTAGTTGCAGTTGGACATGATAGCTTTATTTTATTTATTTATGTGTGGTACTGTGGGTTGAACCCAGGACCTCGCACATGCTAGGGGAACGCTGTACCGCTGAGCCACAACCCCAGCCCCAACAAGGTCAAGTTTTTGCAGATAAGATTTAATTTAGGATGTTGAAATGAGGTTATCCTTAATTATCTGGGAAGGTCCTAAACACTATCACATGGGGATGTAGCTCAGTGGGTACAATGCTTGCCTTGCATGCATAAGGCCCTGGGTTCAATCCCCAGCACCACCAAAAAAAAAAAAAAAAAAGATTCCTCTAATCACTATCACAAAGACAGAGGAAGATTAAAAACACACAGAGAAGGCAATATGAAGCCAGAGGCAGAGATGTTGTCAAAAGCTAAGGAGTACCAGCTGCCACAAGAAGCTGGAAGAAGCAAGGAGTATCTTCCAGTAGAACCTCTAAGGCAGCACAGCTTAAGAGTAGTTTGGTTTCAGGCTTCTGGTCTTCAGAATTGGGAGGGAATACAGTTGTGCTGTTTTAAGTCATGAACTGTATGATAATTTGATACAGCGCCATAAAAAATTAATACGTTAATCATATGATAAATTCTTTTGTGTTTTTTGGTCTCTTTGTGGATATTTTTTTCATTTGTTCTACTGAGCTGTCTGTTCTGGTACCAGTACCAACCATTCTGTTTTAATTACTAAAGATAACACTCGGGTTTTTTTTTTTCCCCCCAAATAATTTGTCATTTAAGTTGTACATGTGACTGTTAAAAGTCAAATAAGATTAAAGGATTTTAGTGTTGGGAAGCAGTCCTCCCACTTCTGCCTATTTCTAATCTCCAGTGGCACCTTCAGCCCTCTGTTTCCTCTGATTATTTCCCACCATACTTCTAAATCATATGTTTATATATTGGGTTTTTGGTGGTGGTTTTTTGTTTTTTTGTTTTGTACTGGGGATTGACTCAGGGGCACTAACCACTTACCCACAACCCCAGCCCTTCTTTGTGTTATTAGAGACAGGGTCTCCCTGAGTTGCTTAGGGTCTCCCTGAGTTGCTGAGGCTGGCTTTGAACTCTCAATCCTCCTGCTTTAGCCTCCCAAGCTGCTGGGATTACAGGTGTGTGCCACTGCACCCAGGTATATGTTACCTTTCGATATATTAATTTTAGGCATATCTACCTACTTTTCTTTTGGTAGGTGAGGATTTAGCTGTCCTTCACCAACATTCTTCCTCATTTTCCTCCCCTAAATTATAGTTTTTATCAAGTTAAGTGTTTTCATTAATATGGACTTTCAATTCCTGAGACAACTCAAAAGGCCCATGTACCCACACCTCCTCTCTAACATTCTTTCCTTTCATTTTTGTTGGTGTAATAGCTTTGTCTTTTATTACCTAATTTTGGAATATATACTATTGATTTTTCCCCCAATTACTCTAACAAGTCTGCTGTGTGAGTTTGAGTATGTGAAACTCAGTTGTGCTTTTCTTCTGGAGATTTCCTTTCCAGAGTCATTCATCTTCCTTCTGGATTATGAACTGCTTGCTCTGTCTGGCTGTAATCTTGAGCTTCCCTTTAGTGCTCTTCCAGTTTGGATTTTGGTCTTACAGTTTGTTTTGCTACTTTTGAGACATCTACCCTTATACTTAGTCCCAGTATTTTGTTTGCAAACTGATTTTTCTTTCTTAAAACTTTGGGATCTGGCCATTTCCATATCCAGAAAATGAGCTCTTCAGTGCCTGATTGATTGACTTCACTGCAGAATAAAGGAGAGCTTGCTGAAAACAAACAAACAACAACAACAAAAAAAAACCTTTAGGATCTTACCTGGGCATGGTGGCACATGTCTGTAATCCCAGCTACTTATATAAAATGAGTATTTGCATATAACCTGTTCACATCCTCCTTTACACTCTAAACCAACTCTAGATTACTTACAATACCTAATACAATACAATGCTGTGAAAGTATAACTTTATTGTTTAGGGACTGATGATAAAGAAAAAAGTATGTTCATATTCAGTATGGATATAATTTTTTCCCCAAATACTTTCCACCTGTGAGTGATTGAATCTGCAGAAGTGCAACTGGCAGATATGGAGGTCTAACTGTTTTGTGTTCAACTTTGTTTTCCAAAGCAATTTTGCATGTTAGCTCATTTGAGCCTTATAACATGCAAGGCTGTGCACCTGAGGACACTGGCCATAGAGGGTTGGGAGAAGTACTGGCCTTAAATTTGCAATTAAGCTAAAGTTTCATATAGGATTAGCTTTAGTATTATTTTTAAATTTTTTTTTAGTTTTGTAGTTGGACACAATACCTTTATTTATTTTTATATGGTGCTGAGGATCAAACCCAGTGCCTCACACATGTTAGGCAAGTGCTCTGTGGATGAGCCACAACCCCAGCCCCTAGCTTTAGTATTATTTTAAGATAAAGACTTAGTGTTGAATCAAGAACATTTGAAGTGCAACTTCAGTCATTCCTTCAAAGAGATAAAATAATATTTTCTTCCCTTGTTTATTTCCTCTTCTTTCCTAATATATTGTTTATATTTTGAATGGTCTCATTGATTTCATTAACATTTTTCAAATCTTATTTTCTAATAATCTATTTTAAAAGCTGCTCATAGGCTATTTTTTCTTTCTGAAATTTGACTGAAGTATATAAATAAATTGATTATAGCTTTGTCAGACAGTAGCACATGGCCTGTAATCTCAGCTACCTGAGAAGCTAAAGCAGGAAAATCATAAATTAGAGGCCAGTTTCAGCAACATTAACAAAACCTGCCTGAAAATAAAGAACAGATGGGCTGGGGTTGTGGCTTAGTGATAGAGTGCTTGCCTAGCAAGCATGAGGCACCGGGTTTGATCCCCAGCACCACATAAAAATAAAGATATTGTGTCCACTGAAAACTAAAAAATATTGAAAAAAAAAACAGAACTGGGGATATAGCTCAGAGGTAAAGCTCTCCTGGTTCAATCCCCAGTACTACACACACATACAAAATTTAAGTATTTCTTTATAGTAATTGCTCAATCTGTCAAAGTCTAAAAAGTAAATAACAATCTGCTTCATATCATTTTTGGAAAAAATAATATCTAATTTGTCTTTTTTATATAGCCTCTTCCTTAAAGACTAAAATTGTGTTGACTACTAAAATTACAGACTACTTCTATAAAAACTTTATTGTAACCAGAAATTCAGCTAAGGGTTTTTATCTCCAGCACTGGATTTTGTTAATGACTTGTTTATATTTTTTACACCACTCTATACAAATGTAGCAAATTAGTTCTTGGAAACCTATAGATTTTTGGAAGTAGATTACCGGAAAATTTGGAAACTTGTACAGGATATTGTAGTTAACTAAAAGATAGGAGAAAATTTTAATCACATGTTTGCTACCTTCAAAATAGAAAAGAACACTACTTTGTGTATGTGGAGAGGGTCAAATGACTTGGATGTATGCAAAATATCAAGAAGTTCTTTATCTATAACCTTGAGAAAGTTCCCTTGTTTCATAAGCCTTGTCTTCTACAAGAACTGGAGTAAGCAAGGCACAGTGACACAGGCCTGTAATCCAGTAGCTTGGGAGACTGAGGAGGAGGATCATGAGTTCAAAACCAGCGGCAGCAAAAGTGAAGGATTAAGCAACTCAGTGATATTCTGTCTCTAAATAAAATACAAAATAGGCCTGGGGATGTGGCTCAGTGGTTGAGTGCTCCTGAGTTCAATCCCCTGTACCAAAAACAAAACAAACAAACAAAACCCACAAAACTAGAATAATAAAATTTGCCATTTCTTGTTCTCAGAGGCTATTTATAAGGATTAAAGGAAATAAAGTATGTGAAAATGTTCTAAAAACTGAGGGCTGGGGTTGTAGCTTAGGGGTAGAGTACTTGCCTAGCACATGTGAAGCACCAGGTTTGATCCTCAGCACCACATTAAATAAATAACTAAATAAAAATAAAGGGATTGAGCTGGGGCTGTGGCTCAATGGTAGAGTACTTGCCTAGCATGTGTGAGGTCCCGGGTTCAATTCTCAACACCACATATAAATAAATAAAGGTATTGTGTCCTTCTCCGACTAAAAAAAATTTTTAAAAAATAAATAAAGGAATTGTATCCATCTACAACTAAAAATCTTAAAAAAAAAAAACCCAAAACTAAGGGTTTTGATCTCCAGCACTGAAAAAAATAAATAAAAAAAATCATGAGTTCTACAAGTATAATGATTATTCTTTTGGTAACTAGTAGTCCTAAAATAATCCAGAACTTTTAAATATCTTAAGCCCCCTCTAGAAAAAGTATCTTTTATATAATTTTGAATTCTTAATGAAAAATTATTAAGCTTTAGTCTTTTTATAAGAATACTCAGGATGACAACTTCTTTGTGGACAATTTTTCTGCTTAGTATGGGATTTTGGGAACTGTAATTCAATAGTGATAAGTAATTGCCATATTCTACTTTTGATAAATGTAGGTCTTCATTTAATTGGATTTTTCCCATATCAGTATCTTATTGGTGTTTATTACTACAGTGCCAAGTAAAACCTAGAGCAAAGCTGGTATTTAACTGGGACTATACTGGAAATTTCAGCCACTTTAGTTCTTCACCAATTCTGGTGTCTCCATGTATTTGTAAATTTTAACTAGTCTGTAATCATTCTGATATCTCAGTAATGACACCAAATTTGGATAAAGAATAATCAAAGTCACCTAACTTAACAGACTCACGATTATAACTTTAGATGCAAGTCTAATGTATTAGTAAAGCTGGTAGTTTATAACATCCATTCTTTTAAAAAAATTTTTTTTCAGACATTGATGGACCTTTATTTTGTTCACTTATTTATATGCGGTACTGAGAATTGAATCCAGTGCCTCACACATGCTAGGCAAGAGCTCTACCACTGAGCCACAATCCCAGTTCCTAACATCCATTCTTAAGGGCAGTTAGAAGGACAGATTCTCAGTCTGTGACTTGATAGTTTTTTTATCAGTTGTCCCTAATATGGTAATTTCAGTAGGCTTTATTTTATCTCCATCTGTGAAAACTCCGCAATATATTATAGACAAAACAGTCTATAATCTATGCATTGATTTTTCAGAGTCAAAATCAATCCTGAATTAATGGACAGTTGATGAAAGATTAGTCAGGTGATTAAAATTTGATGTATATAATATGTATTTGTGTATGTGAACAAAAAAATAGACATTTTCCTCAATATAAATAGTACAGGTTAAAGAGACATATTGACTCTTTAGATTATGCTTGAGAACTGTGGCCTGGATTAGGTGTCTGAAAACTACTTCTACAAAAGACCAGATAGGAAATAATTTTGGCTTTGTGAGCCATGAGATATGCTGGATCTGTTCACCTCTGCCTTTGTAGCAAGAAAGTAGCTAAAGACAAATAATAAAGTATACATTAAACATTAAATGATTGCCTCAGAAATGGGAATGAGGAAGGGATTAAAATGGAATAGAGATTCAGGGCTAGGGCTGTGGTAGAGCACTAGCCTACTATGTGGGAGACGCTGGGTTCATTCTTCAGCACCACATAAAAATAAATAAAGGTACATCTCTCTATATCTATATCTATTATAGATATAGATATATATGAATAGATGTACAAATGAATGAATAAACCAACAATGAGTCTTTCATAGAATACTAAATACATTTAAAAAGGAAAATTGTTGCCAACCTAGAATTTTATATACCATTAACCTATTATGAATTTGAAGGCAAAATGAAGAGAATTTCATACATACCAATACTAAGAGAACTTACTACCCACAGGATTCACTAAAAGAACTAATTTAAAAAAATAGGCCTTTGCTAAAACAAAGAAGGAAAATATAGGATATAAGAAATAAGGTGAGCTAAAAATTGGTGTGTTGATTATAAAAAATATATATACAACAAAATCAGGTTGAGATGATATTGGGTTGTTACTGGGTAGTGATAATGTTAGTTTTTGTCAGGATATCTAATAAAGTATATATGGCAAAAAAAGTGAAAAAAGCAAAGAAAAACAATAACAAAAATAAAATCAGATGATAAAATAAGCTTAATTCTAGTCATATTAAATGTAAATTGATTCATTTTATCTAAGAAAACAGATACATAAATGAGAGGTGAATGGCTACTAATCAGTTCCTAGAAGAAATGCACCTAAAATGCACCTAAAATAAAACCATAGTACAAAAGTTGAAAATGAAGGCATGGGAAAATAGATACACTATCTTTCCTTTGAATACATTTAAAGGATATCAATAAGAGAAAAAATAGAAAATAAGATTAAATAGTAATAAAGAGGGATACTCATGATAGAGGAAAAATTTATTAAAAAGATAACTCTGAGGGGCTGGGGTTGTGACTCAGTGGTAGAGTGCTCACCTAGCACACGTGAAGCACTGGGTTCAAAACTTAGCACCACAAAAAAAATGAAATAAAGATATTGTGTCTACTTACAACTAAAAAAAAAATTAAGAAAAGATAACCATGAACATCTATGCCCAGAATATAACCTTAAATATATTATGTATATAAGTGTTCATGCACATGCACACACACACATACAGATACATACATACAAATGTATTGTATGAAAAAAATAGAAAACTCCACAATATATTAAGCTTTAAACATTTCTTCTAGGAACTGATTAGTAGCCATTCACCTCTCATTTCTTCTTTTCTAGCAGAGGCAGCCTCCCAGGATGAATAATCTTATCTAATAGGATATGGGCAGATGATCCAATTACAAACAGACTTCTAGGAAAGGTTCTTCTCTATAATGAGAAGAGATAGGGAGGAAATCTCCCTATTATTTGGGTGACATAATGTGATATCTGGGTACCTGGAATAGTAGCAACCATGTTCTAACCTCAAGGAAAACCATTGGTTTTAACTTCCTTAATGACATTTTTCCATAACTTCATAATTCTTTGATCGATTTAGGTTATTAAAACATCTCAGTCCAGTATTTATGATTTATTCCTGTTCATTCAAAATCAAATGAATTTACCCAGCCTCCCAGTATAATCTAGCCCTGCCTGGAGTTGTTCTATTGTCTTTTTTTTAAAATATTTTTTTAGTTGTCAATGGACCTTTATTTTTTTTATTTATATGTAGTGCTGAGAATCAAACCCAGGGCCTCACACATGCTAGGCAAGTACTCTACCACTGACTCACAACCCCAGCCTGTCTGTTCTTTACACAGGTCCTTTTTCATCTTTCCTTGTTTTCCCCAGTGTTGGAGTAAAGAGGAAGATTGTGTGTAGCCAACCTCCATGATATCACTACACCTTCCCCTCTGGACTTAGTGACTCACTCCTAATAAATAAAATGGAAGTGATAGGTCAGAGATTGGTCTTAGTAACATTCTATTTAAGATTATTCATTTTAGGGAAATTTAGGTGTCATGCTGTGAGTAGCACTATGGACAGATTGTGTGACCAGGAACTAAAGGCTTAACCTAACCAATGAGTGCAAAGAGACAAGGCTTAGAGGACATATCAAGGAGGTCTAATACATGTATGACATTAATTCCAGGAGAGAGGGTAACCAATTATCAAAGACATAAATAACAGAGCCTTCTGTTTTTAAAAATGGCAGAATGAACACATTTATCCCCTTTCTCAATGAAATGATACTGTCTACCACGCGGCCTGCGCAGTGGTTTCATTAATGAGGTTCTAGGCATAAAGTTAGTTAGAAGAGATCAAAATAAAACACAAGACTCAGTTACCTTATTTCTATTGTTAGGTCCGAGACGGTTCCTCTCTCTGGTTCGCTCCTCTAAACTGCCCAGCAGGGCAGCAGGGATTACTTAGAGCTAGCAGGAGAGAGAGAGAGAGAGAGAGAGAGAGAGAGAGAGAGAGAGAGAGAGAGAGAGAGAGAGAGCACGCTGGGGACCAGCCTTTTATTGGGGAACAAGAGATTCAGGGGAGAATTCCATTCAATGAAGGTTGAGGGGGGGCTGCACTCCAAGGTCAGGGTCAGTGATTGGGTCCCCGGGGTCAGTGGTCAGGCACACCCCCACACGGATGGGCTCTCTCATCAGGAAAGGGTCGGGGAAAACTTCCGACTTTGCCAAAGTGCCTCAGGCCCTTAACGGGAGTCGCCCAATCACGTGTTAGAATGGCTTCCCACAATACTGAAGCAGGCAGATAAAACAAAAACATATCAATTTAGTTGAACAAAATGCAGAAGGAACTTTTAGCACATAAGATTTCAGCATTTCTGGAATACAGAAAGCAACTATAAGAGTTCTGACTGAAAAAGCAGAAAAGAGAAAGAGCAAAATACACATAAAGTGAACTGCTATAGATCAGGCAGCTAGTATCCCTGGCAGATCTACCAGATGCCAATAGGAGAGCTAATTAAATATTCAATCAATTTTCTCACATACCCCTAATACCAAGTGAAAAGAATATAGCAGATGTTTTCCCCTTAAGCAAAAGGAGGAATAGGTTGTTGTATTAAAAAAAAAGACTCATCTGAAGAGAAATGGACCACCATCTTTCAAAGCTCCTCCCAGGATGATCTCTTAGAACAGACTGTCATGCTATAAATATCCCATGCCATACACAAAGTTCCACTTGTCACTCACTGGTAGGCTCAGTCTGGAATCATCTCAGTTTAGAGACCAAAAGATATGAATGAAACCTCTAAGTGACTGCAGTAGTCCCCTGATAATCAGTTGTTTAACTTTATCTGTTTAGCATGTTCCACTACCTGTGGCCCAGACAATCCATCATCATAATAAAATGTTTTTATTTTATGCCATAAATTTGAAGTGATTTGCTTCAGAGAAAATCTAAATAAATCATTATGAAATTTCAAACCTCTGAGGATAAAAAGTAGATACTGAAAAAATTCTAGAGAAATAATACAGATCACTATCAAAGAAACAATAATCAGACTAGCATGAAAATTTCCATCATGAAACCAATGTTAAAAACACAAAGGAAAAAGACCTTTCTCCAGTTCTAAAATAGAAGAGAAGAAAAAAGCCATTTTCAGGCATACAAGGACTTATGCATTTTTTCTTCCAGCTACCTTTCCTGAGGAATTTACTTGAGTCTGTCCTTTTGCTAAATAAGGGTGAAAATTAATAGAGAGTAGTAGCCAGAATAATGGTCCTCCAAAGATGTTCCTGTCCTAGTTTTATTTCCTTGAATGTTTTCCTGCCCCATTCCATCTTTCTCCTTCTGCCTCACCATCTCTCTCTTCTTCAACTTCACTCCTTCTGCTATCTTCCGGTTGTTCCTAAGCCTATCCATTCAATTATTAATTATAGTTATTAAACTTTTAACTGGAGACCATCACTTTCTTTTAATATTTTGTTTTTTTGTGTACACATCCTATCTTAAGTCCTTGCATATATTATAATATCTGCTTTTAAATGTTTGGTAATTGCAATATCAGGGAAGTCTTTGGGGCTTGGGAGTCTGTTTTTTTTCCCCCTTTTTTTTTTAGTTGTAGGTGGACACAACATATTTATTTATTTATTTTATGTGGTGCTGAGGATTGAACCCAGTGCCTCACAAATGTAAGCACTGTACCACTAAGCAACAGCTCTAGCCCTGCGGTCTGTTTTTATTGACTGCTGTTTTTCCCCTGGCCATGGGATCACATTTTTGAGAGGGAGGCAGGGCACTAGGGATTGAACCCAGGGTGCTTAACCACTGAGCACATCGCCAGCCATTTTTAATATTTATTTAGATACAGGGTCTGACTGAGTTACTAAATGCCTCACTAATCTGCTCAGACTGGCTTTGAACTTTTGATCCTCCTGCCTCAGCTTCCCAAATTGCTAGGATTACAGGCGTACCATACCCAGATCACATTTTTCATACTAAGTGTGTCCAGTGGTTTTTTATTGGCTCCTTAGCATTTTGAATGATGTGTTTGGCAGAGATTTTGTTTCTCTGAAAAAAAGTTTTTTTTTAGAAGGAACTTAAATTGGCTGAACTCAAGCTCTCAAACTCTGTCTCCTCTGTAGTTAGAGCAGCTAAAATTGCCACTTAACTATTTCATCTTTCAGCTGCTGGCTTTTTGTCAGGACTCCTGGTATCTCTCCCACCACTTACTGATTTAGTGATCAGCAAAAATCTAGGAAGACTTTGTATACAGATTTTTGGGGATCACTTCCTCATTGTCTTTCTCTTCTCCAGGATAAAACGCTTAAACTTAGGTAGTTCTGCCAGCCTTAAATTCTATTATCTGATATCTTAACTCAGTAGGACTTTGATTTCTGCCTAACCCACCCCTAGTGGCAAGCAGATTTAACAGTGGTCTTAGTTAAAAAACCACAAATATACAATTATCAGCTTCTGCAGATTTACCCTCCCAGCCACTCTCCTGTCCTTGCCAGGAATTGCGTACCCTTAGGAAGTACCATAGCTTTCAGATAAAAAAGGAGGAGTAAAGTTTATTACTCTCAAACTTCCAATCAGACAAAGTACTTACTTGTTCTCACTCAAAAAGGAGATGAGAGAATGGAGAGGACAGGAATATATTGTTTAAACTACATCAACATGGATTAAAAAAAATTTTTTTTTTTAGTTGTTGATGGACCTTTGTTTATTTATATGTGGTACTAAGAAACGAAATCAGTGCCTCACGCATGCTAGGCAAGCACTCCACCACTGAGCCACAACTCCAGCCCACTCCCTAGCATTTTACCTTCCTAACTGATTGGGCTTAAGCCTACAGTCAGCTTAGTAGAAGAGATCAGCAGTTTGTCATACAATTGGGCTGATCCTCATGCCAATAATTTATAAAATCTGGAGAGGAAACTGAAAGCAGAAAGAAACTGGATGAGAGAGGAAAAAATGCAAGTTTCCCTCAAGATGCTATATCAGAACAGTATAATACTTATATCAACCCCAAGCCTCCTATGTACCCAAGATTGAATTCTTTCTCTTTTCTCAGATTATGTCCAGCCAAGTTATCTAGGATAACATATAAGGATCAGCAATTAAACGGTTACCAATCTATACTGCCCAGGAACCTAGCAGGACAGCCAAAGGAGAATACCTGGAGGTGTGTGGGAAAGCTGCCACCTGTGGACTTACAGATCATTTTTGTGCTGTTTTATGCGTTTAACTTAAATCTAGTTTGTCTGATATTAATATGGCTAGTTTAATTTTCTTTGTATTTATTTGGTATATCTTAATCTACATCTATTTTTATTCCTTCTCTATCATTTAATTTTAGGTGGATCTCAAATAGCATATGATAGGATTTTTTAAAAATTTTAGACTACGTATTTAATGGGAAATTTGCAGTCATCATTTTAAATAATATTATTTGTATTTCTAGCCCCCTGATTTATACTGTTTATTATGTTTCCTTAGTCCAGTTTTTTCTACTTTGGTTTTTGCTTTTTGCTGAAATTTTTTTGCTCTTTTGTTTTGCTCTCTAGTAATTTAAAAATTAGACATCCTATTTTTATTTAAGTATTAAGTACTTCAAAATAAAAAAGAAAATTAAACGCTACTTCTTTACCCACACACGGAATACAATAGATCTGTTGATACTCCTGGAAGTGATGAATGAGTCACAAATCTCCCTTTTGTTTCTATTCCCACAGTTTATTAGAATAAATAGGCTTTAGAGTCAAACTGTTATTAGTCCTTTTTTACATTTTCTTAAGAAAATTTTTCACAATTGCATTTCCTTATATGTATAATCATGCTATGTTAAGAATAACTACTTAGGCATCTGATTTTTATGTTGATGATATGTGATATCCATTTCTGTTTCTTTTATAACATACCACCTCTCTATATCTAAGGCTTTTATTTTTGTTGGCTTACAGGACATTAGAGTATTTCTTGGAGTGATCATTCAGGCAGGGCATATCTGAGAATATGTATTAAACTGTAGTTATAACATAGTAGTTAAAACTACAGAAAGTTTCACTGAGGAAATAACAGTAATAAATAAAGGCATGTGCACAAGTTTCTTCATTTTGCAGTATTATTAGAAAAGCAAAATTTAGATGCTAATAAGTTTCTATTAATAAAGATTAGTGAAATGAATATAATTATTTCTAGAATTATTATAAAATCATAAGTTTTATCCCTTTGTTTCCCAACCAAAATTAATGTGTCACTAATCTTTTTGCCTGTTCTTTTTTCAAGCTGTAATTATAACCAATTGAAACCATAAAAAGAAAGTATTACCATATTTGTGAGCATTATATTCTATTTAATAATCTTTTTCAGTTTGTCAATTAGATTAAATTGACTAAATAGTTTATTCAGAAGTTTTTTAAAAAAAATTTGGTTTTGTTGGGTGCAGTGGTGTATGCCTGTAATCTGAGCGGCTCAGGAGGCTGAGGCAGGAGGATCAAGTTTGAGCAGTTTAGCAAGAGCTTGTCTCTAAATAAAAAATAAAAAGGTCTGGGGATATGGCTCAGTGTTAAGTGCCTCTAAATTCAATCCCCAGTACCAAACAAACAAACAAAATTTGGAATGAAGTTATAGCTCAGTTGGTAGAACGCTCACCTAGCATGTGTGAGGTACTGAGTTAGATCCTTAGCACTACATAAACATAATAAAAAGGTGTTGTGTCCATCCACTATAAAAATATTTTTTAAAAACCCACTAATTTTAGTCTATTTATTTTAGTTACTCCATGGATTCTTTTGGACAACCCAGATCAGAAGATACCCAGTCGGTAGTCAGCAGAATGCAAAAAAAATACTGGAAAACCAAACAGGTCTTCATTAAAGCAACAGGAAAAAAGGAAGATGAGCATGTGGTGGCATCTGATGCTGAACTGGATGCTAAACTTGAGGTAAATTTAACTGGTTATTTTTTGGGACTAGAAGGAGGTCTGTGACAAACTTTTATACCAAAGAGCTTAAGAGGATAAAGGCAAATTTTGTCATAGAGCATTTATTTGTAGTCAACTGTCAATCAGAGCTTCTGAATAAGAGGTCACAATCCTCACAATTGAAGAATTTTTGTAGAACCGATAAATTAGATAAATCATGAATTAGGTGGGGCTGGGGTTGTAACTCAGTGGTAGAGCATTCATCTAGCACATGCAAGGCCCTGGGTTTGATCCACAGCATCACGTATAAATAAATTAAATAAAGGTAATGTGTCCAACTACAACTAAAAAATAAAATATTTTAAAAAATCATGAATTAGGTAATTTCTCTGAAACCCATATTATAGTTTTTAAGCCAAATATTAATGAATTAAATTCCCAACTGGTAATTATGTATATATAATATATAACATATTTTATATACTATAGTAATATTTTGTAGTACTTTGATGTGAAGTCTATACCTCACTGAAATAAATAAATTAAAATCAAATAGTAAATTAAGATAAAGAGTTTTTCTATTAAGAAATAAAGTTATTGAAGTAGTTCATAATAGTTTTTTTAGCTTAGTTTTTCATTTAAAATAAAAGGAATAATTGCACTAAAACAACTTTAAACCTGTGAATATTTTATACTTTTAAATAATTAAGCTAGGGGCTAGGGATGTGGCTCAAGCGGTAGCGCGCTCTCCTGGCATGCGTGTGGCCCGGGTTCAATCCTCAGCACCACATACAAACAAAGATGTTGTGTCCGCCGAAAACTAATAAATAAATAAATAAATGTTTTTTTTTAAAAAATTAAGCTATAAAAGAGCCTCAAGTAAATTAACAAATAATTCTGGATTTGTAAGTTTAGATTTACTAATTTCATGTGCATATACTAATTTAAGATAACTCTTAAAAATATTTCCAAGCAGGTGTTGTTATGAATCTAACCATTATGTTGGGATCCTTAAAAATATAGGTATAATTAAATAGACCTTGTTCTACTAAGTATTTTAATTCTGCAAATAAATAAAGAATTGCCATAACAAATATGGAAAGAGATGATGAACAAGCTGTTACTATTTGTGTTAAAAAGTATTCCTCTTACTATTCAGTAATAAATGTGGAAAAATGAAGGGATTTTTATTATACTGTAGTATACAGTAGTGTATGTTTTAACACTAAGGGAAATCGTCACTTTTTCCACATAGTACTCCCACAGGAGTAGATATTTTTTTGTTGTTTTACATTCCTAGGAAATCTGTGGATGACATATAATTATTGAAAATTTATCCATTAGACAGATATTTGGACTCAATCAAGAACTTTCTGCCACATTTACACTATCTTTTAAAGAACAAGAAATATTTTCATTGTAAAAATAAAAAGCAATAGTACATAAAACTTGTAAAGAACTCTGTGGGAAAAACTAACCCAAATCACTTCATTCTAGGAGAACTATCTTTTTGGTATTCTTTTCTAATCTTTTTCCATACGCATTTAAAACATCTTTAAATTGCCAAGACCTGCTACAAAATTCAATTCACACATATCTGAACTTACATGAAAAATTGATGATATTTTCCATGCAAGATTTTCATGCTTATTATTAATATTCCCTGGGTTTGATCAGGTATCTAAATTATGGCTAAATTGGGGCAGAGATAGGATATGCAGGCCATTTAATGATATTGGGAGCTTATTTGGTAATCAAAAGATTAGGGCTTGATATTACAACACAGAGCCAAGGTCTTTTGAATAAACTATCATAATAAACAAAAAATTCTTCACTGTAAGAAGATTTTGTGAGGAGGAGACTGTACTCTGAAATCCATGTTGGCTTATTTACCTGGGAAACCTAAATTTATAAAGATATGTGAATAGTTACATCATGTGTATAATGTATTTTCAGCTCAAATTTTCACGATTAACTTTTTTAAAAATATTTTTTTACTTGTTGATAGATCTTTTTTTATTTATATGCAGTGCTGAGAGTCGAACATAGTGCCTCACACATGCCAGGCAAGTGTACTACCACTGAGCCACAGCCCCAGCCCATCACATGATTAACTTTCAAATGAAAGTCTACTAGATATTTTATTTCTTTTTGTTAGCAGTTAGCGACAGTGGTAATGAAAGAATTTATAATATATATATTTTTAAGTATTTATTTTTTAGTCGTAGTTGTACACAATATCTTTATTTTATTTATTTTTATGTGGTGCTAAGGATGGAACCCAGGGCCTCCCACAAGCTAGGCGAGTGCTCTACTGCTGAGCCACAGCCCCAGCCCGAAAGAATTAATATCCACAGAAAATTTCAAACAAAAATAATCCAAAATCAATTTATATTTGATGTTGTAAAATATTATTTTAAATTTTAAATTTAATTTTTATCTATACATAAAAACAAAAATTATACATACTAACAGGGTACCATGTAATGCTGGATACATGTATATAACTCATAATGTTTAAATCAGGATGAACATATTTATTTTCTTAAACATTTATCATTTCTTTATGGTGAAAACTTACAAAATCCTTTCTTTTTTTTTAAATTTTCTTGTAGTTGTAGATGGACAGAATGCCTTTATTTTATTTGTTTATTTTTATGTGGTGCTGAGAATCGAACCCAGTGCCTCACACATGCTAGGCAAGCGCTCTGCCACTGAGCTACAGCCCCAGCCCACAAAATCCTTTCATGTAGCTCTCTGAAATGTATAGTACATTATTGTTATCCTAACCATAACAGTACACCTGAGCTTGTAATGTTATTTATTAAAATATTTTTTAGATGTTGATGAACCTTTATTTTATTCATTTATTTATATGTGATGCTGAGAATTAAACCTAGTGCCTCACACATGCTAAGAAAGCACTCTGCCACTGAGCCACAACCCCAGCCCATGTGTTATTTTTATAGTAAGTTTAATGCACTGTTTTGTTTATACCAATGTTAGGAAAAAGCCAAATTCAGAGTTAACACATTCTTAGGTTATACTCTTTTCATCTGTGGTTGGCAGTATTTGGTGCAGTTTATTTATATTGGATACATCTTGTTTGGTGTTTAGATAGTTGCAGCTGAGAGGAGAATAAATTACACAGATTTAGCCCATGTATTTATCATCATTTTTTCTAAATCCAATGGGTGAAATCCAAATGTGCTTTTTTATAAAAAGTAAAACCAAGGCTAAAATATGTCACAGCCATGGAAAATAGACAAAATATTTATAAAATAGACATAAAATTCCACTTTTGAAGTTCTTATAAATTATATCTGTTTATGGTTCTTTAAAGTGTCTTAATAAAATTTGTATTTCAAGGTTTTTCACTCCATTCAAGAGACGTGCACTGAACTTCTGAAGATAGTTGAGAAATATCAGCTAAGACTCAACGGTATGACATCATGGGTACCTGATAATCCCCATTGAAAATTAATATTAGTTTGCATTTTTTACATTCTTTGTTGGTGCTTTATAGTTGCACATAATGGTGGGATTTTTTGTTTCATATTTGTACATGCACACAATATAATGATATAATTTGCCCAATATCACTTCCCTAGTTTGTATTATTGAAAACAAGTAATTTAATGGAAAAATAGTGGCTTATTGAACTATTTTGTGAGCAGTTTTTTAAAAATATTTTTTAGTTTTTGATGGACCTTTATTTTATTTATTTGTATGTGGTGCTGAAAATCAAACCCAGTGCCTCATGCATGCTAGGCAAGCATGCTACCACCGAGCCACCACCCCAGCCCCTGTGAGCAGTTTTTAATGGCAAAATACAAATATTTATAGTGACCTATTCTCAAAATCCTTAGTATTCATATTCTCTAGTTCATCAAATCCTTTGACAGAGATTCAAAAGTGATGTTCATTTTTCTTTCTTTTTTAAAGTTCTAGGGATTGAACCTAGGGCCTCACACATGCTAGGCATGTACTTTTTAAAATTAATTTTGTTTAGTTGTAGATGGACACAGTACCTTTATTTTATGTGTTTATATTTATGTGGTGCTGAGGATCGAACTGAATGTCTCACCCATGTGGGTGAGTGTTCTTCTGAGTCACAACCCCAATGCATAGACATGTACTCTTACCTCTGAACTATATCCCAGCCCTCTTTAAATTTTGAGATTGGTCTCATTCTCTAAATTTCTCAGGCTGGTGTGGAACTTGTGATCCTTTTGCCTCAGTCTTCCAAGTAGTTGACACTACAGGTGTGCATCTTCTCACCCTGCCGATATTGTTTTCTTGCCAAGAGTCTTAAGTAGATTTGCTTCCATCACTTAAAAGCTTCTTTCTTGACCCCCACTTACTCTCAGAGTTAGCCCATTCTCTCCTCCTCATACGGAAAAATTTGGCATAACTGTATGCAGTCTATTCCTTTCTGTTTGCTTAATTTTATACCCACTCTAGTTTTCATCCCTACCACTCCATCAAATTTCTCTTATCAAGGTTATGAAGAGGTAAGCCCAATGACCAGTCCTTACTAGGCTTATCATGTCATCTAACACAGTTGATTATTATCTGCTGCTCTTCACTCTGCTTCTAGGCACCACGCTTCCCTGGTTTTCCTCTTAATTGTTTTTTTCTTCTCATTCTACTTTTGCTGGATTCTTTTTTCCCCTTGACCTCATTGGGTTGGAACTCAGTCTTGGATTTTTTTTCCTGCTCAAATACAGTGGCCTACTGGATATGGCTACCCCTATGATCCTGGTTACCTCTCTGATCACATTTCCTAAAACCTGTCTTTTTGAACTTATATTGATCTCTTTCACAGCAGGCATGTCTTCACGGTGGGATCCGTAACTTCCCTTAGGTATGACTAAATGTCATCTTTATATTGAGGAATTCCCCAAACCCCATATCTAAAATACAGTACCCCTTCTCCTTCATAGCTCCCTGTTATTTAACATTCTATATTTTATCTGCTGTTTTTCTTCTCACCACTAGAATATGCTCTCCTTAAGAACAGGACTTTGTCTATTTTATTTTTATGTCCCTGAAGCCTATAAACAATATCTAGAATCTACTCAGTATTCAATAAATATTTGCTCAGTGAATGAATGATTTCTCATGAAGCTATGTAAGTTAATCTTACTATTTTATATTCAAAGCTCACATACCATCCCATTAAATAAAGAAATCCAGGGCTGGGATGTGACTCACTGGAAGAACACTTGCCTAGCAGGCATAAGGCCCTGGGTTCAATCACCAACAGCTCAGAAAAGAACAGAAATTCAGTAAGGCATAGTTACTCAAGTATTTTATGAGTATCTGCTATGTGTAAGGCTATGTGTTTTTCCCAAGGAAATAGTTGGGAGAAACAACTTTTGTAAAAAATAAGAGATGATACAAATAGTATATAATTGAGTTCAGTATAGAAATAAAGACATGACTCTGAATTCCTGTAAGTGAAAAATAACTGGAATAGAGCAATGCAACTCTATAAATGGAAATTGAGGTAAAACTTCAAGGGTTTATAGAACTCAATATATGGAGAAAAGATTTGGCATCTAGGGAATGAGCTTAAGAAATGAGAAGAACATGCATGGGCAGAAGAGTTTCTAACTGAGAATAATAGGGGAATAAAGGAGCAAATGAAGTTTGGGGTCAGATTATTGGGATAGTATATTTTACCAAGCAATTAAAAGCTGTTACAGTCATTAGACCAAAGAAGTCTTGTGATAGAAGTGATGACAAGAAATATTGGCAAGTTTGTTTGTCTTAAATTTTGTCCTGAAATCACTAGATCTTTTAGCACTCTGATAGAACATTTCAGAATAAGGAAGAGATTACACATATTTAGATTTCATTATGTACTTCTCTTTGAAATTGTATATAAATACGTGTTTTCTTGGGCTGGGGATGTGGCTCAAGCGTTAGTGCGCTCGCCTGGCATGCGTGCGGCCCGGGTTCGATCCTTAGCACCACATACCAACAAAGATGTTGTGTCCGCCGAGAACTAAAAAATAAATATTAAAAATTCTCTCTCTCTCTCTCCTTTCTCACTCTCTCTTAAAAAAAATATGTGTTTTCTTGAAGACTCTTATATTAATACATCTTCTGTTAGGATTAACATCAGACAAATATGGGAATTACATCAGGCACAAACAGTAAATTAGTACAGTGCTATAAATCTCTCTCTTTTTTGGTGCCGGGGATGGAATCTCTAGGAATTCATGATGAATGCTCAGAATGTTCTCCATTGCTGAGCTACACCCCAACCTCCAGTGTTATAAATCTTTATGGAAATCACTTGACTAGGGGAAGAACATATCAGGGTGAGATCTCAGTAGATGTTGCAGGCAGGTCTCAACACACTCGCAGCACACATTCAACCATATTCCCTACTTTTTTGCATTGATAAAAATAAGACTCAGTGATGCTTATATTCACTTGATACTTTATAATGAAGTATACTAGTTTCTCAGAGATCTTTCTGAATCATCATACAAAAATGAGTATTTTTTCTAGTAGTTTTCACTGAGGTACATTTATAAACTTCTGACTCAAAGGAAATGTACATCTCTCGATTAATTAGAATATTAAATTAACATGACTCCCCCCAGTCCCAATCCACTCTGGATCAGGTGAGTTGTTCATAATATGATAAATGGTTTTATTAAAGAGGATACCAGAGAATGTACAGTCACCCACCATGACACTACCATGTTCTAGAGTCACCTATAAATATCACAGAGAGAAGCAGCAGGATTGGGGAATCTGTAGATGAGAAGGGCTGATTCTATTGCTGGCTCAGAGGAACATGGGGACATACCTAAAATTTTAAACTTCAGTTTTTCTTCAGTGCACTAAGGTGAGAATAGGTATGACATTTTGTTTTATTTTGTTCAATTGGACATTTTATAACTTTTCCCACTTATCTATCTTATTGTGGTTAGAGTGTCACTTTATACAATATAATTGTTTCTAAAACTATAGTGAGGGACAACTTTTTTTTGTTTTGTGGTTTACTTCTAATCTGACATTTTTGTAAGATAAAGTAAAAGTGGAATTTTAGAAAATGAGATTTTAAAAGACATGTAAACTCAAGTTCAGTTTCTCCTCCTCTTTTTTTTAATGTGGATTTGGCACTGAACTTTGGGGCTTAAGCATGCTAAGCATACATTCCACCACTGAGCTGTACCCTAGCCCCCTACTTTTTTATTATTAGATTTGACAGCTAATGACATAGAATGAATTGGACATAACTTTCCTATGTTCATATGGGAATACACAACCCGTGTAACTCCACATCATATACAACCACAATAGGAAGTTATACTCCACATATGTGTAATATGTCAAAATACACTCTACTGTCATGTATATCTAAAAAGAACAAATAAAAAATAAAAATAAAAAGATCTGACAGTGATAAAATACTCATTCAATTAGCAAAAGTTTCTACACAATTACTCTGGTAACCAACAATTATTGACAGGTGCTAGCCTGAAACTTTTAGGGTTTCTGCAGCAGAACTGTGGACATTTGTGGGTTCTGAGATACTAAGGATGAGAATCACTAATAAATCAACAACTATATAAATAGGAAAAAATACTTTGTAATAGGCAATGAGTCTAAAATTTCTGCACATTTGAAAATGTAATTTTCTTCCTTTTTTTTGTTTTGTTTTTTTCAATAAAGATCAGTTTTCCCAAAGCAAGGTCTATCAATTCACTGCATCAAAACCATCTGGAATGCTTGTAAAATGTGTATCTCCAGAAATATAAAATCAGACTCTCTGGAAATGAAGCCCAGAAATTTGCATTTTTACAATAAGTCTTTTCTTATTCCTTCCTAAGTAATTCTTATATTCCCCAAGTAATTATTAATATCAGAATTATTGGTGTGAGAATTTTAGTTTTTTGTGTGTATTTTAAACAATTGATGGAATGAAATAATTAACTATACTATATTTTTTCCCCCTAGTTATATCAGAGGAAGAAAATGAGCTAGGGCTCTTTTTAAAGTTTCAAGCAGAACGGGATGCTACTCAAGCTGGAAAAATGATGGATGCCACTGGCAAGGCACTCTGTTCTTCTGCCAAGCAAAGGTTTACCCATGGCTTTTCATCATGTTTATATCTATAGTCTATTTGACAATTTCGACATATGTCTTAAGTTTGCATGTTTGGAAAGGAAAGGTCATTCCAATGAAGAGTTAAGGAAAAGAGAAGCATATTGTAGTATACAATTGTTTTGATGCCTAGCTCTTAGTTATTAATTTTGGATTTAAAAGAACTATTCTAAAATTGATGTTCTTCATTGCTTAATTCCTAGAAATAGCCTTTAGGCCTATATTTCTATTTCATAAATGACTTAATGTAACAGTCACAGAATGGCTAACATTTAAAATATGTATATTTCCACTTTTTCTTTTCACATTCTTGTTTGATAGGCAAGTGCTCTACCACTGAGCTGTCTCACACCCTCTTTCACTTTTTTTTTTTTTTGGTACAGAGATTGAACTCAGAGGCACTTACCCACTGAGCCTCATCCCCAGCCCTTTTTATATTTTATTTTGAGAAAGGGTCTTACTAAATTGCTTACGGTTTTGCTAAGTTGCTTAGGCTAGATTTGAACCTGCAATCCTCCTGCTTCAGTCTCCTAAGTTACTGGGATTACAGGTGTGTGCCACCATGCCCAGCCCTCTTTCACTTTTTTGATATTATACTACCTGCCCCAAAGAATCTCCTGTTAATATAATCTGAATTTTTGTATTTCAGAAGAAAAATGAAAACAGGCCTTCTTAGGCCTGTAAAGATGATGTCCAGATTAAGTGGCTTTATTTCAAAGCCACCACATCAGTGCAGTAGTCCATCTTGAAGATAGTGAGACAGACTGAGTTTAGGGCCCTCTAGTGCCATAAAGTCAAAAGCAGAGTGGAGGAGCTGAATTTGCTTTGTTTCTTAAGTACTTTACCTCATCCTCATATGCTAAGATTTCCATACTCATTAATTCTTCTAGCATTTTATCTGATCTTCTGCACCCAGGCTTTTCCTAAACTTGCCAAATAAAAGGCTGTGTATGAATTGGATTGTGTTTTATGAATGCAGGTTCTCTGTTCCTTGAGAACTTTTTTCTAAATGGTAGGGTTACTTGGCAGATTATCTATGCATGAATTAATACCTACAATGTTGTAAAAATTATATATTTCCTTAAGTAAAAAAGGAAGTACAAAATATCATTATTAATTATTCAAAATTGGCTATATTATTCCTATTTGCTTTCTCTATCTCTTTAGCCATCTTGGTAATTTCCTATCTGTAAACTAATTTTTAAATTTTTTATTTATATATGACAGCAGAATGCATTATAATTCTTATTACACATATAGAGCACAATTTTTCATATCTCTGGTGGTATACACAGTATATTCACACCAATTCGTGTCTTCATACCTGTACTATAAACTAATCTTTATAGCACAATGCTTTTTGGTTGATTGGTTTAAACTTTTGTTTTGCATGTGGGATGTGCAACCCTCTGATTCTTACCTCTCTGTCACCAGACTGGCCTTGTGTACTCCTCTGTCTCGTCTTAAGCAAGAAGTAACAACTTTCAGTCAAAGGGCAGTATCAGATACCTTGATGACAATTAATAGGATGGAGCAGGCACGCACAGAATACAGAGGAGCTCTCCTGTGGATGAAAGATGTCTCCCAAGAACTGGACCCAGACACCTTGAAACAAGTGGAAAAGTTCAGAAAAGTATGAAAATATGTCACTTTCCTTTTCTAGTTACATAAAATATGGAACTGATACAGAATGAAGATTATAAAATATGATTATATACTAATACCTGACTGTTTTTTAAAAAATATGCTTTATTATGAATTCTTGGTTGTGTGGAGATTTTGGTTAAAGTATAAAAGGTTGTTATTCTTCTATTTTTACTCTTTGAATGGCATGGTATCCCTACTTCAACAGTCTTTTTTTTTTTTAGTGTGTGTGTGTTCTCTTTTTTTAATATTTATTTTTTAGCTTTAGGTGGACACAATATCTTTATTTTATTTTTATGTGGTGCTGAGGATCGAACCCAGTGTCTCACGCATGCCAGGCGAGTGCACTACCACTTGAGCCACATCCCCAGCACCCTCATCAGTCTTTTTACTAATCTTTTTTATCCCCCTCATAACCTAATTACACTTTAAATGTTCTTTATCTGGACTTTTGGAACTTGTTTGTAGGAAGAAAACTGTTTATTACTGAGGAAAAAATATCTAATTTAAGTAAAAATTTGTGTAAATTTATTAATTGTAAGAAAAGGGAAGGTTCTTAAATTTTTCATTCTGCCAAAATACAAAGTTTGACCACAAACCTATAGATAGTAAGCAACTATCTATGTATGGACAAATGTTTTTGCTAAATAAGCTTATTATAAACCATATCCTCTACATTTACTATGCCTGGACATTAAATTTCATTCATTCATTCATTCATTTCATAGAGAAGCTATAATAAATATTTACTATTGATGGAGCTGTATACTGTGCCAGCTATTGTATGTAATCGGTTTGCCTCACTGATTACACCCAACAGACTTGTAAAGTAAGTGAACACATGACCTCAAGCCCCAGAAACCTTTTATTCTATCCCTGTTACAATCCTTGACAATTAGAATTCAGTGCAAGGGGGTGGTTGCACAACATTGTGAATGCCCTAAATGCCACTGAATTGTACACTTTGAAATGGTTACTTGTAATGTTATGTGAATTTCATTTCAATTAAAAAAGAAAAACAAGAATGCAATCCAAATTCCTATCTGAACTAAAAAAGCTCTGCATTGTCTGATCCCTGGTCCTTCTACAGCCTCATCCTGTGCTTGCTTCCAGTGCTCCAAGAAGAATATGCTCTACCCTGTGCCTTCCTTTTTTGAAAACTTGATAAGCTCTTTGCCCTCTCCCATTCGTAGAACCCTTGTCCTTGTTTTTCCCTGGTCCTGCAATACTCTTCATTGAGTCTCAGCATAGCCTGCTCATCATCTTTTGTCTCAATTGAAATGTGAGGCATAAACTCACCAAAGTTTGCCCAATTTTATTAAAAGTAGTCACCCATTTTTTAACTTATTTGCTATTTTGCAGCCTGAGATTATATTGTATATTTATTTACTATGTTTTTTCCTGTGCCTTTGTACCCAGAGATGGTAGGAAACTACCATAATATCCTAGTACCTTGAAGAGTACTTTTCACGTAATAGATATAATTAAAAGTTGAGTGTTCACATTACTCAATCACTCCTGACTCACTCTCTGTATAGGAAATAGGCCTGAATATAAATTTATGAATGGCTCCATGATTCAGAAATATTATTAATGCTTCTCAACATTTTAAATAAGTCCCATTTCCATTTATTCTTCTGCATGTAGACAAAAACTGTCCATAATCCTGAACATCTTAGATCTTTCTTTTTATTTGGATTTTTTCTTATTAACTATATAATTTCCATCTATCATCTCATACTTTCTCAACCTAAAGATATCTACTAGAAAGAATCTTTTACAATTAGAGTCTTCATTAATCATGAAATATTAATAATACTGGGCAGAGTAATTGGTATCCTTTATTATAATTTCATGTGTCTGAAAACATTTATTATGAACTTGTATGCTATGTTTATATCTGTACTATAGGTAATAATAGCATTTTTGTGATTACAGGTACAGATCCAAGTGAGAAATAGCAAAAGTTCTTTTGACAAATTAAAGATGGATGTTTGTCAGAAAGTGGATTTACTTGGAGCTAGTCGCTGCAATATGTTATCTCATTCACTCACTACCTACCAGGTACCCACCTCCATGGTCAGCATGCCCTTGCAGTAAAGATGAGTGGTGAGATTCCTTTTTAAAAGTTGTCTAAAGGGTACAAATAAATTATAGTTGATCAGATTCCTTTGAATCTGCTGTAATTGACTCATTGAGGTTACAACAGTCAGAAAATTATAAAGTCCTAAACTGAAAAAGACCTTAGAGATTATCTACTCTAGTAGCTTCACATTATTCTCCTTGGTGTTCTAGGGAGAGAGGGGACCACTACTTGTAAATGGAAATGTTGACAAGGCTAAATGCAAGACCCCATTAGCTTTGATTCAACTAGAGCTTTTCAATTTCTCGCTTTAAATTTCTACATAAACTTTCATATGAAGGAAAGATATTGTGGCTCCAAAAGTTTGAAAGCTTTTCTGTCATTTTATGGATGAGAAAAGTAAAACCTATGAGAATTAAAATAAATAGCAATATTGAATTCAAAAACATAACTTCTCTTTTTTTTAAGAGAGAAGAGAGAGAATTTTTATTATTTATTTTTCAGTTTTCGGTGGAAAAACATAACTTTTCTAATTCTAGGTCATGTGTGTTTTTCATTCTGCCATATTACCATCCTAAATAGCTTTCTCCTCAGAGGTCTTACTTCTGCTTTCATTACCCCAAATCACATATAAATAACACATAATGAATAAGTTAGATATTAATAAGCAGCAGTTGCTGACTTTAATGTATATTTGTAAATAACAAAGTAAAATGAACTGTACTTAAATAGGAAAATAATAATAAAATCAAAGGAAATAGGTATTAACTCTATAGGGAATTTACCTAATTCAGTTCAAAACTATGGAATGTAGGAATCAAGAAAGATTCATTTGAACTGAGCATGATGGCACACACCTGTGATCCCAGCAACTTGGGAGGCTGAGATAGGAAGACTGAGTTCAAAGCCAACCTCAGCAAAAGTCAGGTGCTAAGCAACTCAATGAGATCTTGCCTCTAAATAAAATACAAAATAGGGATGGGGATGTGGTTTGGTGGGCAAGTGCCGCTAAGTTCAATCCCCAGTAGCAAAAAAAAAAAAAAAAAAAAGATGCATTTGAAAATAAAAAGTGCATCACTATTTGTGAAGCATGATGCCATAACCCAATAACAATTAGTTCAGTTCTTTTATTTTCTCCACTCATTCCCTTCACTTTGAATACAAACACTGAAGCAATAACAAAAATTTTCAATTACCTGAGTTAGCTTGAGAACAACACATTTTTGGAACAAGTCTTTCTTGAACCCTCAATGAAAAGCCAAATTAGTGGTAAATATTTTCTCAAAAAGATGCTCTTATATGATAGCAACATAAAGATTATACATTATGTCTATCCTTCTATAGTGATTGGCATTTCCATGCTTTTAACATTTTGCTTTTGGATTCCTCAGGTTCTGATTCATTAGTTTTCTTTCTTTTAGCTGCAGTCACTCTCTAGGCTCTAGTGTGCATTCCAGTGCTGTTTAAAAAATAGGCACACATGCATGCAGACATTGGTGCTAACTTTCATATAAAGTTATGATTTTTTTTTAAATATAAAGTTTCTTTTTTTAAAAGAGAGAGTGATAGAGGAGAGAGAGAGAGAGAGAGAGAGAATTTTTTTAAATATTAATTTTAGTTCTCGGTGGACACAACATCTTTGTTGGTATGTGGTGGTGAGGATCGAACCCGGGCCGCACGCATGCCAGGCGAGCGCGCTACCGCTTGAGCCATATCCCCAGCCCCTAAAGTTATGATTTATAGTTCAACTTTTCTTGAACAATTGAATTTAGTGCCTGCTGTTTATTGTGCAGCAACTAATCATATACTACACTAGTGAGGAAATAGAGCACAGAACTGATCGTGGAGGAGAAGCAGAACTATAGTGTCTCCTTTTCTTTTTCTGCAGAGAACACTGCTTGGATTTTGGGAGAAAACAGCTCAAATGATGTCCCAAATCTGTGAGGGCTGTGTTGGCTTTCATCCATATGATTTTGTAGCTTTCAAGGTACATTTCTTCCCCCTGTTTTCTTGCTTTGACTTATTATACTTCATTTGGGTGAAAACATTGAAACTATTTTTTGCTAAGCTTAATTTCTTTTTTTTAAAGAGAGAGAGAGAGAGAGAGAGAGAGAGAATTTTTTAATATTTATTTTTTAGTTTTTCTTTTAGGCAGACACAACATCTTTGTGTGTGGTGCCGAGGATAGAACCCGGGCTGCACGCATGCCAGGCGTGAGCTACGCTACCACTTGAGCCACATCCCCATCCCTAATTTCAAATTTATAAAATATAAGGCAACATTTTCCTGCAGTCTTTCAGCCAAGGATCAGCACTTGCCTTATTCCAAATGCTGCCAGTGAGACTAAAAGCCATGGAAATACTGCTGGCAGATTCAAGGTATTAGGGAATGTGGGCGAGTGAAAAGAAAATTAAAATGCAAAGGAGATTTTTTAAAGGCTGTAGAAGGAAAAATTTAACAGGCACAAGTGATGGGAATTGATCATGTCCAATTAAAGAAGTTTAAAAGACAAATTTCCTTGTTTTACTCATATCAATGCCATAGATATGGTTAATGATGCCCCAAATATGCCAGTTATGGTCATTACTATGTGTGATTGCAACGCAAGAGACTACTAACATATTAGATCAGTTCTTTCTGAAACAGTTACATGTGAAAGATGCTTTTTGGCTTTGATTACAGAGCTTTTGACATCTGTATGTCTTATAGTCATCTTTGCGTGTGGCTCATCCAGAAGAGTCACACTGTGATAGTCATTTCTTCAGTTCTGATAGCCTAGATTTCAGTACCTTTTAACTTGCCATTGTGCCTTGTATTCAGTAGAGCATGAAAAGGGTTGCTGTTGTATTTCTTCAAGTTGAATATAATATTTGCAATGGGTTCATATCCTGTAACCATATATTACTGAGCTTTGGGATGGATTTTTATCTTATGTTCTGACATGGTATCTTCCAGCCCAAAGATGCCCTTAAAGTTTGTTTTACTTTTTCAATAGTTGTTAAACCAGTCTGTCTCTAGTCCACATTCACAGTGTCTGCGGTTCCCACAGGCAGCCAGGATAAACAAGTACATATGTGGGGCTCAGTTCAAATCACATTAGCACATATTTACCATATTTCTCACTCTAGTTCAGAACTATTTCTATATTGTTTTTTAGAATTTTTATTCTAATTTTGCATGCAAAGAGAAACAGATTCTTTCCATCTACTTAACATTGAATTTCTTATCTTTAGAGACTACAAGATACTCCAAAGAAACTTACTGAAGATCACAAAGAAGAACAAATAGAAGGCAGTTTTCTTACTGAAAACCTCCATAAGTAAGCCAGCAAATCTATATACTGTAAGGGAAGTCCTGGACACCATCCTATGATATATGTGGGAAGAATTGTTTCTTCTCTTGTTCATTAATACTTTTTTCTACCTCATTTTTACAAACAACACATTTGTTGTTTCAAAACATTTGTTTTGTTTTTTCTTCCCTCATTTTAAACACTACAGGTAAAGGAAGTAACAGGAGTACTAAACAAATTGTGGTGATACTCTAGATTCTGTCATTTGGGAGTCTTATATTAAGAGCCATGAGTACCTCTGTTGCAGGGACAGCAGGAGAGAAGCAAGGGACAAGGGCCAGCAATTGTGAGAAAAGCTATTAAAAATCTATAGCAACTCAAGAAGCTGAGTCAGGGGGATTACAGGTTCAAGGCCAACTTAGTAAGACCCTGTTTCAAAATAAATAAATAGATAGATAGATAGATAGATAGATAAGACTGGGGATATGGCTCAGTGGTAGAGTATCCCTGGGTTCAGTCCCCAATACTGGGGGGAAAAATCTATCTTCAAAACAACACAGATAGGACTGGAACTGGTTACCTGAAAATAGGGTCTCTTGTTACGTACATCCTTCTTGTTACCTGTTTCCCTCTTATTAAATCTTCCCCCTGTTTCTCTTTCAGAGTGCCACAATTATTTTAAGCAGATTGACTCAATATTACAACAAACTCAGAAATTAGGCCCAAATAATTACAAATCATTATTGCTGAATCAAAGGTGATCCTAAATATAAAGCATTTCCCCATTTTTCTCTATAGGAAATCCAAACCGATTTTTTTTTTTTTTTTTTTTTGGTAGTGGTGCTGGAGATTGAACCCAGGGGCTTGTGCACGAAAGGCAAGCACTCTACCAACTGAGATATATATCCCCAGCCCCCAAACCAAATTTTTAGCCAACTTGAATATATAAATGTTTTAGATCAATGTTTAGTAAATGTTTAGCTGTACATTAAACTTACCTTAATTACATATTGACATTTGAAATCATATGCTGCTAGGCGTGGTGGAGCACGCCTATGATTCCAGCAACTTAGGAGGCTGAGACAGGAGGATCACAAGTTCAAGGCTAGCCTCAGCAACTTAGTGAGACCCTGTCTCAAAATAAAATATAAAAAGGACTAGGGATGTAGCTTGGTGGTATGGCAACCTTGGGCTCAGTTTTTAAAAAAATAACAAAAATATCATATGCTAAATGAAATATATTAATCTAGTTTTTTTATTCTCATATTTCATGCAAGTTTTATTCAGAAGCTTCTCATGCATCTTCAAGATGATGAGAACATCTTTTTGAGTTAACTAACAGATTCCTAAGCACTTTACCTTCTCTTCCATCTAAGTTGTTTAAGAAAAATACACACATAACTGTCATTGGAAATTTTGTTTCAAGTTAAATATCTTTCTGCTTTACAGGATTTCTTTTAGTATTTGCAAATAAATATTATATTGCTTTTTAAGTGTCTTTAAAAACTTATTAAAATACATCTAATATTAGCAATTATGAGATTATGCCCTAGGAATAATGGCTAAATCTGTGTTCAATTTCTTTGTCTCATTTTTTGATTATTACATGGATTCTATAAATCAACACATTAGATAGAAGCCCTAAACATCCAAAATTAATATTGACTGAGGATATTTTAGGTAAATGTCTCTTCTTTCACAAACATCACTTTATTCTTTAAAATAGAATTCCCCTACTTTTTTTCTGGAATATTCTTCATTCCCTTCATTTATTTCCTAAAAGTTTTTAAACAAAACCCTCCAAAACTTGAAAATAAAACTTCTTACGGTGTTCTCTAAAATGCTTACACCGAGGTGTTTCACATTTCATAACTTTTGGGATTTTGGAATATTTGCATATACATAATGAGATATCTTAGGATGGGACCTTAGGATGGGACCTAAGTCTAAACATGAATTCATATATGTTTCATACACATTACCTGAGGAAATTTATATTTTTAATAATTTTGGACATAGTGTCGAATTTTTCCTCTTGTAGTATCATGTTCTCAAAAATTTTAGATTTAAGAGCATTTGGATTTTTAAATTAAGGATGCTCAACCTTGAATTTAGCACAGTGCCTGCAATGCTGATGTACAGATACTCAGTAAGTGATTACTGAAAGCATAGAGATCTTTAAAACAGAAAATACTCTCAGATTTAAATTTTGTGAGATCTACAGATAAGTGTTTTAAGTTTCCTGACTTTAAAAAAGTGTTTTTTTAAACCATGCCGGGTGCTGTGACACACGCCTGTAATCCCAACAGCTTGGGAGGCTGAGACAGGAGGATCAAGAGTTCAAAGCCAGCCTCAGTAACTGAGTGAGGTACTAAGCAACTAACTAAGCAACTGTCTCTAATAAATATTTAGAAATATAGGGCTGGGGATATGGTTAAGCATCCCTGTTTAAGCATCCCTGGGTTCAATCCCCGGTAACTCCCCTGAAAAAAGTTTTTTTAAACCATACTAAACTGGGGAATATGAATTCCAAATGTATTTTAACTAAAACCCATGTGTTTTCTTTACTTCAGGGTAGTTTTGTCAGAAGAGGAAGCAAGCTTTGGGAGTGAACCAGGTGAGATGGTAAATTCTTTACTTTGTAATGATCAAATTAGATGTCAAAAGTTTATCCCAATCTTTAATACAGAGATTGTGTTAATATCCATTCAATTTTTTTAAATGCTAAGTTTCTGTTCTGTACACTTTCAAGTTATCTTTCAAAGAGTGCCTAATTAGAGGGCTAGTAGTCTTTTTTAGGTAGGTGCTTTTAAATGCAGAAATCTATTTTACAGGGCTGCATGATTAAGTTTCAAGTTTTCTTCACACTTAAATTTATGTTCTTATTTTTAAAATAAATATTATATATGTATATATACATATGTGTGTATATACATATATTTGATACATACACACACACACACACACACACACACATATTCAACATATTTGAATCACTATGGTAAAAAAAAAAGAGTATAGACTTTGGAACCAGAAAAAGTGAATTTGAATCCTTTTTTTGGGTTCCGGGGATTGAATTCAGGGGCACTCAACCATTGAACCAAATCCCCAGCCCTTTTTGTATTTTATTTAGATACAGGGTCTCACTGAGTTGCTTAGCCCCTTGCAGTTGTTGAGACTGGCTTTGAACTCTTGATCCTCCTGCCTCAGCCTCCCAAGCTGCTGGGATTACAGGCATGTGCCACTGTGCCTGGCTGAATCCTTAGTTGTTTTTTTTAAAAAAAATATTTTATAGTTGTACATGGACACAATACCTTTATTTATCATTATGTGGTGCTGAGAATTGAACCTAGGGCCTCACATATGCTAGGCAAGCACTCTACAACTGAGCCACAACCCCAGCCCTAAATCCTTAGTTTTTGAAAACAAATCACTTATGCCTCTCTCAGTTGTATCATCTGAAATATGAGTAATTTGGGCCTACCTTAACAGGAACATTAAAGATAGAGATACTATTTAAAAACTACATAGCACATAGCAATAAAAATGAGAGGTATTTATGTATATTCAAATATGTACATAAATAGATTATATGGATAAAATATTTTAAGAAGCCATAATTATGAACTTATATATGTAACACAACTTCAAAATTTATGTTCAAAAGGTTAACTATGGTTTTGTTTATATCCTGTACCTAAAAAATAGAGAATATTCTTTAAAAGTCATAAAAAATATACTGAACATATTGTAATTTCACTCTTCAGTCATAGTATTATCTTTAAAATCCTGCTGTGTGGGTAATTATATCCCCTTTTAAATTCCAGACATTTATTTGGTCTTTATTCCTTTTTTCTTGTTTAATCTTGTTATAGGTTTACTCATTTCATTATTTTTTAATAAACTAAAAAGCTTTGGTTAATCTTCTCTATTGAATTTTTGTTTTCTGTTTTATTAATTTTGGTTCTTTATCATTTTTACTTTTCATATATCACACAAGTTTTGGAAAAAGCACCTTTAATCTGAGTGTGGTAGTCCACGCTGATCTGATAGTCCCAGCTACTTGGAGAGACTGAGGTGGGAGAATCACTTTGAGCCTAGGAATGTGAGGTCAGTTTGGGTAACAAAGCAAGACCCTGTCCAAAAAAAAAAAAAGACCATTAGATGGGGTCAAGTTGTATTTAGTGATGAAGCTGCATGAGGCTCTAGGTCCTATCCTAGAACAAAAACAAAACAAAATGAAAAAACCCCACAAACAAAACAATTCCAAATAACACTTTGTGTAGGTATATTTTAAATACCATAAAACTCACTCATTCCAAGTATACAAGTAGTTTTTAGTTACTACTGAGAGGTGCAAACATTTCCATAAATCAGCTTTACAACATTTTCATCCCCTAAATAAGATCCCTTATGCCCATTTGCAATAATTCCTATTCCTATCCCCAGCCAGTCGTTGACCTACTTTTGTTTGTTTGCTTTTGTGACGGAGTGTTACTAAATGGCCTGGGCTGCACTGAACTCACAATCCTCCTGTTTCAGCCTCTCAAGTAGCTGAGATTATAGGTGTATGCCACCCTCCCAGTGGTTTCTCATTTATATTTGGACCTGTGCTTCTATTTTCTATTTGTTTTATCACTCACTCCCATGCTTTTATCTCTGGTATTGGCTTAATATTTGAAGTTCTTATTGTTTGTTTTAAAATTTTTCTTTGTTCTTTCTTTTTTCCATGAACTGATTTGAAAGTTATACATTTTATTTCCATCTTTTGTGGCCTAATTTTATCCTGCTTACCTAATAAAGTCCAAGGTTTATCAATATTTCAATTTCCCCAGAATATTCAAAAGACCTTAGAATACTAATCCCAATTATTGCCATACCAGCTCTTTAAGTATTAATATTTTATTTCTATCTTTTTCTAATTTTTCACAAATTAAAAAATTATTTTATGAATATTAGACTTACCAATATTTTCCTTTCTTATTATTTCTTCATATATTTCAAATCTTCATTGTGAGTTCATTCTTCTTATCTACCCTTTAGTTTAAAAGTTGTTAAGAAGATATATTGGTGGTAAACCTGGCTTATATATATATCTGGATATATTGTTATTTCTCACTTTTGAAAGAGTTTGCTCAACAACAATTTTAGGTTGGTTGGTATTTTCTTCCAGCACTTTGGTAATTTCAAAAATTACTGTTCCATCATTCCACTGGTTTTGTTGAGGAAAAGAAAAAATGTTAATCAGATTATTATTCCTGTATAGTGACTTTGACTTTTCTATTTGGCTACTTTTAGGATGTGTACTTTGTTTTGGGTGTTCTGCTCTTTTAGTACAATGTGCCAAGATATATAATTTTTGTTGTTGTTTTAATTTGTGATGGTATATAAATTGTATCCTTAAATCTGTCTTTTATCTCAACCATTCTTACTTTTTTAGTTTGGTAAAATATGCATGGCTTAAACATTATTTTTTAAAATATTGCTTCTTTTCTATTTTCCTTATTCTTTCCTTCCTCCACTCCAGTAAGCTTATGGTGGACCCTTTCGTTAATTCCTTATATCTTTTAACTTCTATTTCATATTTGCCATTCCCTTTTCACTCTACATAGCATTGTAGGTAAGTTATTCAGATCTGTTTTTCACTAATTTTCTCTTCTTGCTTCCAGTCTATTGTGTAATGTATACAGCAAGTTTCCCCCTATACATTTTATTTCTAAAAGTTCTATTTGGTTTTTCTATGAATTTCTGTAGTGGGTTTTTATAGTCCTTTGCTCTTTCTTGCTTTTTGACTCATATTTGTATTTAAAAATACAAATATTTGAAGTCCTCTAATTTTCTTGTGGTAGTTTGTTTAGTGATTTCTGATTATGAGCTAATTTTTATTTGCTCTCAATCTATGAGAATCCTGGAAGTGTAACAAGTATTTGCTTATATTGCTTGGTTTCAGAGTTGAGGAATATTCATAGCCTGGAGACCCCTTTAACCTCCTTTCAGAGCCTGTCAGCTCAGTGTTGGAATTCTGGGATCAGCTTGGTTTTCTTGTGTTGAAGGCTTTGTCTCCAGAGAACAGTGTCAACATGGAAAGGGGATCTGTCTTTCCTCTTTGCTTGCTGCTTATCTTTCCTAGATCTGGATTTAGTCTAGATATGCATTAAAAGTGTTTTTTATAATTTTAGTGAGAATTGTTTTTTTGGGTGGGGGGCAAGGGTCCTTCTGAGTGTCTTATCTTCTAAAATACCAGGTAGCATTTTTGCACAAGTAATAATAATAATAACATTTTAAAAATATTCAGCGTCCCTCGGACCCAAATAATACTAGCACTACTTATAAAAGTGAAAACTAGAGGGCTGTGGCTGTGGCTCAGTGGTAGAGTGCTCACCTAGAATGTATGAGGCACTGGGTTTGATTCTCAGCACCACATAAAAATAAACAAACAAAATAAAGGTATTGTATCCATCTACAGCTAAAAAATATATATTAAAAAAGTGGAAACTGGAAAAAATTTTCTTGAAAATGTAAACATTCCACACTTTGAGTAACTTTAGGCACTATGTTGAGGAACTTACTTGAAATCCTTCAAACATTTATGCTCTGAGATATCACTCAAGTGGTATTTCTTAGGTGGAATAAAGCTAGTCTTTTGAACTAGCCCTTCCTCATTCTTATACTTGTTTTTTTCTAGTATCATGTATCTAGGATGAAAATCAAATGAATCCAAATCCCACATTAATCACCAAACACACAGTGGAGTAAAGCAGACCATTACTGAAGATTTGGGGAAAGACAAGGAAGGAGGTTACCCTTATCGTAAACAGTATACTTCCTTGAGGATTCTTTAACAGATCTCTCAATTCCCCTGAATTATTTCTGTGGCTTATAAAATTTGCTGGTGTGATTCTGCCTTTCTCTTGTCATTCATTCCTGTTCCTCTCCCATCAACTCTGATGCTCCTTCTTACTTCCTTCTCTGGCTACTTCTAGAATCTCTTTCCCATTCCCAGATTTTCCTTCTCCTTTTCATATGTTCAACTAAAATCTTTCCTGATAAAGTCCTTTTTTTTTTGCATTTTTCTGTACTTCTTCAACATCTTTATAATGTATTAGAACTTAAAAAACCTAACTTATCCTTTAGCTTCTTTATCATAAACCTAACATTAAATTCCTTAAACCTTCCTTTTGAATTGTTTCCCCTTCAATTATTTTGGTTATTCTAGTATTTTCTACTCTGCCTATATTCTTTTGTCATATCTTAAACTGTGTAATAGACACATTAGTCCCTGGCCTTAGATGCATATAATCCTCTAAGTTCTCCATACACAACACTCTCCACACTTGTATGGAGGAGAAATTTACATTTCATTTTTTAAAATGGCCTTGGTAATGGTTGAAGATATCAAAATCTTGTTTGTTTTTTTGTTTGTTTTTAAGGGTGTGGGTCTCTTATGTTTGTACTGGGTAGCAAATGAAGTAAGGAAAGATTATTCCAAAAACCGACTCAAGAACTGCCTCCCTATGAAGCAGTGGGGAATACTTGTATTTGTCTTAGTATAAGTTCAAAACAAGGGAAACATGTTTTTTTAGCAGTGATTTTGCCTATGGGTTTTTTTTTTTTTTT